TTGTAATCGTGAACAATCACATTGATTGTCTGTGATCTTGTAGAGTAAATTGGGATGATGATGATGATCTTGATAACAGTCAACAAGAAATGCATTGCTGCCCAGACCAAAGATAGGTAGGGCAATGAATTGTATGCTTTTCACATAGTCATGCCCTCTGCTCTAAACATCTCTCCATACTGCATTTATGGAGATGAACATAAATAACCGCAAATCTGCAAGGTCAGACACTTCTATTGGCTGAACTACTGTAGGCTGCTTTTATCTAATTTTGATATACAGTGCACTGCCTCGATGCTGTGCCTGCTTTGTGTATTTCTTCAAATACCCCTAAGGACGTAAAGAAAAACATCAAAATATGCAAGAGCAATATAAATGAACAATAAGTTGATGAACACATTTCTTTGGGTGCGTTCAGGTTCCAGGTTTCTCCGCTTTTCTTGCCAGCAAATCGTGGATTCATTTTGATGTTGGCAATGGATGTCTCTGTTTGCTGTCTACACACAACAACATGATGAGGGGGACAAATAAAAGCCAGGTTAAGGGTGAAAGTGGTTTTATTAATGGAGCCAAATGGAATCATTTATTCACCCTCTACAGCCCACTCTCTCCTCTTACTGTAATTGGCTCTGCTGAAACTTTTCCATCCCTACTAGTTGAAGATAGCAGCTATTGAAAACACTTCATATTCAGATGGGGATTGAAAGGTTTTCTTTGTTTAATCAGTCCATTTTCCATTCCCCCAGTTTGTTTACCTAATTAAAGAAAGATGTCGGACAATTGCAAGCATGAAATATTGATATGTGTTGCTGCGGCACCATATTTTGTTGAGAGAAAGCGTCAATCTTCTTAATTAATTTTTCATTAAGGGCACAATACTGAGAAGTTCAATATAAGCTTGGAGCAACGTTCATGGACCCCCTCCCTGGCCTTCCTTGGTAAAACAATCCTGTTCAGTGAATTAAGCTTCAGCAACACACAATATCATTTGTACAGCTCCGCATTTCACCTGTACAATAAATATACAGAGTGGAATTTTAACACAAATGTATAGTAAATAAGACGCACATTAATTGCTTTAAAATGTCCCACAAAAATACAATTAAATGTCAAACATTTAATTAATAATAATATATAAATGCCCATAAACTTCAATAGAAAATAAAAAAGTTAAGAAATAACTCTAATTAATAATAAAAAAAACAATAAAATACAATTATTCTCTTTCTGCATCTTACATAAATTGCCCACATTACGCATACATGATTGTAGTAAAAAAGTTAGGAAGTTGCTTAATGGTGTAAATGTTGTCTAAAGAATATCTAAAATGATCTTGCTGTGTTATTGTTAGATTTGATCACGCACATAAGACAGTTGACATAAGCAATTTTTTATTATTTCACCAATCAAAAGTAATTTAGATGAACAGTTGGTACGGTGGCAAAACTGAATATGTTATTAAAATAAATTACGATAACTCCTCATCCTCCGTTCCCAAAATATATAATGTATAATAAAACAAGAATGGATCATAGGCTTTTTAAGGAAAATGTGCAACAACCTCAAATAATGGTTTTGAAGCTTTTATATAAAGACAATAAATAAACATAGCATATAAAGGAGGTTTATTTCAATGTTATGCAGGAAAAAATATTGAATGTTATAAAAGATTGTCCTTCGTAATGAAAATGTTTGGTTACCTGCTTCAGTAAACAAATAAAGGTCTGAATTTAGTAACCAGACCACTGCTGCTCCTCCGCCTCCCATCCCACCGGGATATTGCTCACACATGCAGCAGGCTGAGAGCCACCGGTTTCAAGAGACTGATAATAGCTAGTTTGGCAAAGAATTAGCTAAATGTGACAGTTCCCTTTTAGTTTTTGCTCAAATGAGTCAGGAGTCAAACAAAGCATTCATCGCTGCTGCTCTCCCACTTTAAATAGATGAAATAACCATCTGGAATATGTAAATGTAGAAATTAGAATTGTGTGTGAGTCATGGGCAACCAGTGGGCCTCTACCTGACACAAGTTTCATTGTATGACACACAAGCCTTTATATTTATGAATTCAAGGATATTTCTGGAAAATAATAGATAAAACCTGCTATTTCATTATAATAGTATAATGTTCTCCAGGTTCACCAATGCATTAGAATGCAGACTTTTGCTAATTAGCACAAAACTCAGCCCAGCTAGATTGGCAGGTACTTTAGCAGGTAAGTTTTGACCTGATAGATGACGGGACAAAACGTTAGCCAAGGGATCCCGTACCTGAGGGGACCATAAATGTCTCATATAAAATGTTCTGACAATCCAACATTGTTGCAACTTAAGTGGTTGGTCCATGATATGGTAGGTGGAGCTAACCCAACAGACTATGTTATTCACTTGTGTAAGAGGTGGTGTACTGTTTTTTAGTCTCTGTAAGTTTTGCAAGTATACGATTACCGTCGCCAAAATTGATACTAAAGAGTTATGAGTGAATATGTTTTCCAAAAAATCAGTGTGTCAACACAGGTGCCATCAAAAAGCCAAAAATTAAGATTTTTACTTTAATATCTTTAAATAGTTTGATTTCTATCCATCCCATCGTTTTTAAGATATTTTTTTCTTGGCCAAAGTTGTGGACCATCTGACCAACTGACTACGTTGAGCTCGGGCTGGCCGACATGGAGAATACAAACATCACAAATATACGTCTATCAATATTGTGTTGATATTGTAGGGTTGGTACATACACAAAGACATGACATTTTGATAAACAATCATCACTTATGTGGATATAATGGCTAATTGCATAAAGGCAAGTAATTGAACAGCTAGAAAAGTTAGATAAGTTAACAACATAACATATATTTATTGTAACAAAGCCTTTAAAACCATGAAAATATACTGCAATTTTAAGATATCAGAAATCCAAAATAATATCTAGTCTCATAACTTGTTTTTGATATATGTCCAGCCCTACCTTGAGCCAAGTTACAAACGTTGTGGTTGGTATTAAGCCATGGCTATGCAAATGTATGAATGAGTGTGACCCACCTGGACAATGTAGAGCACAGGCATATTTTTAAATACCCTGACACACTTCAGGAATAGCATAACATGGCCCATTTACTGACCACCTCTTGTCTAATAACATCAGAACTGTCTCAAAACAGCCACTTCACTGCATTCCAAATGCTACATAGACTGATACTATTTGAGTGGCTGTCATTAGTATTGAATGACTGGGGCTCACTTTGCATATCTGTGTTCTCCCATCTGCAGAACAAAACCTGGACCAGATGTACGACAGAGCTTTGATATTCCCTTTATGTGGCAATCTGCCTCTGACTAGATTTTCATTACAGATGAAAGAGAAAAAGCACATTAAACAAATCCTGCTTAAAAGTCTGGTTAAACGCGGTAGACCCTGTATTCCAGCGGGTCCGTCTGCACCGCGGTGCTGCGGTGACCCGGTGGAATACAGGGCGGACCTGGAGAATCACAGAACGGCCGGTCGTCAGCGGGCCGTTGACGGCCGGCTCGGTACGCTGACGGCCGGCACCGCCCTTCATTTTTTTAAACGGCATCATATAAATTGCGCTGACAGGCGACAGAGGTCCACAGTTGCCCCGCAGCGATGCTCCCCCGCCCTCCCGTAGACATTTCACGAGCTCAGTCACTTCATAACACCAAAGATAGGTCGCGGTAAACACTCTGAAGTGAGGCTCCACTACACTAAAAAATAAAAATAAAAGGCACAGTGTAATGCCTGTTAATAACTTGCCACAGGCATAGCTCAGTTAAAATAAAGCACAGCTATTGTGCAATACATTTGTATTGCATGTATATTTTTTAGTAACAATTTCAGTTAAAGCTTTTAAGAATAAATATATTTTTTTAATCTAAACGTTTGACCTCTTTCTTTTACAATTTTGGAATCGAAACGGGGAATCGATAAGAACCGGAATCGATAAGCAGAACCGGAATCGAAATCGGAATCGATAAATTTCAAACGATACCCATCCCTACATACTAAGCCTTGCAGCATTTGGGTTGGGTTTTATCAGCGGGGACATTAATTTCAATTTATGAGTGCATGTCCAAGTAACTTGACCCTCTAGAGCAGTGCTTCTCAAAGTGTGGTCCGCGGACCACTGGTGGTCCGTGAGCGCCCCCTAGTGGTCCGTGAGTATATTGGTAAAATTTCACATTTGAAATAAATTAATTAATTAAAGTTTTCCGCACTCTCGCGGGAATATCTCTGCAATGGAGCGAGCTTAAGTTTCACTTTCGATTGCATGATATAGCCCAGCGCAACACCTTCATCACACATGTGGCCACTTGTTTGTACCATTTTCAGGCGATTTGTAAAAAAAAATGTGTTTTTGGATATTTGTGGAGTTAGGTGGTCCGCGAGTATTTTTTTATTGGTTAAGTGGTCCTTGGTATGAAAAAGTTTGAGAAACACTGCTCTAGAGTCTAGACCACCCACACAGAGGCGGAAGGACTTTTGGTTGATTAAACTTCAGTCTCACAGGTTCTTTCTCTGCAAAATGTAGCCAGCAAAACATCGGGTATTGAAATGAAAGGTTTACCACATATTTTGTGGGTGACGAGCAGAAAATAGATGCGAGACAATTCTGGAAAAGAAACATGCTTATAATGTGGAAATACGAGTCAGTTAAGGCAAAAGTTATTGGGCTTGAACAGTTAAATTATACTGCTTCAATTCAGTGAAATGACCCCTCGCCCTCTTGCTTGAACCACAGGAATTAAATGTAATACCTGCTGGATATCCGAATGTTAGCATATAGACATTAGCATTTAGCTCAAAGCAAGTATGTTCTTACAGAGCATGGCTGTATTGCTGTAATTTTAGGCACAACAAACAATATTAGATCTGTCAATTTCTTTAACAATAATTTAAAATGAGGATGACTCAAGTTATTTTTCTTGATTCAAATGTGGAAATATTCTTTATCAACTCACAGCCTCTCCTTCTGTGTCCCCAGCTCCGGTGGGAGGGTGAGCATTGTGACCGGAGGCCGGCCCAGGTCACGTTGATGCTGGTGGGCGCTCCCCGGTACTGTCCCTGCCACCTGCTCCAGCGCTGCCCCCACCTCCCAGCCCACCCACCATGGCTACGAGCAGTGACCCTGGCCGTGAGCGGCTGGACCCCGACTCTGACAAACAGACCAGCAGTCTCACCGACATCATGAGTGCCATGACCACAAAAGACTCTGATGGCTCTGCTACCAACGGCGTCAGGAATGGCGTGGCTCAGCAGGAGGGGGCTCATGCCAAGAGGACCCATGCTTTGCGACCTTACTTGACCGGAAGGAAGTTGTCGCTGCAGGAGAGAGGCACCTATATGTCGTCAGGAGGAGGGTACACGCACATTTCCCCTCGTGTGGCTCGCAGGCCCTGCGTGGAGTCCAAACGTGTGTCCATATCAGACGCCCAGGTAAGGAAGTGATTTCCTTTCACGATAATCAAAAGTCAGTATTATAAAAGTGATCCAATTTAAATAAGAAGAAATGGTAATAAACAAAACAACGATTCCCTTTAATTCCCTGTATTTCTCAATATATCTGCATTATCACCAAATATAGGGGAGCAGAAAGCCAGTGAACAACATGATAAGAGAAGAAAAGTGTGAGAAGATGTGCACACTAGTCTCCCATTGGCACCCATCATGGAATCATGCCTCTGTCTAATAACTCATTTATGTCATCATTATCCTAGCTTCTGCCACTGATGTGTAGCCTATATAATACACCATGTCCTGCACTGTGAGCACATGTTTAAAGATGTGAGAACATTTTCCTATGATGTTGGCTGTGAGAACAGCCCCTTTTACTAATCAGACAGTCATGAAATGCTTTCTAGCCAGCCTTTTGCTGCTGGAAAAACCATTAAAGAAGAGTATGATGGAGGTGGGCGGAGCTAATCACTTGCCAGGATAATAATTTGGAACATATTTTACTGTGTAGATGTCTGCTTTTATAGTAATATCAATTCTACATTGGTGTTACGGCTGCTGTTTCTGCCTGCTCGGTAACCTGTCTGGGATTGTCTGCAGCTGTGTGTGTGATTATGTAAATGAGCTGTGTGGTTGCCCCAACGTCATTGGCTGTCATCTCCTGGTCCACTTCCGAGGACACTGATTGGAGCACGCCGGGCCCGACGTTCTCCAATCCCTGTGCAAGCCCAGCGCACACCTGCTGAAGAGGACGACAAAGCCTGGGAACAATTATCACTCAGGAGGCTCTGCTGCGATCAGACGCCTCATACCTTTTGCTCTTGTGTCATGGACACTATGTTTGGTGTGACATATGTGTTTAGTGACGAGTGTCAACATATGTGCTTAGTGTCGAGTGACGATATAATTGTATGTGTTCAGTGTCGAGTGACAACTTATGTGCTTAGTGACGAGTGTCGAGAGATGTGTTGAGTGTGGATATATGTGTTTAGCGTAGGGTGCAGTTTCCCTCCTTCAGCTGTGTTTTTTTACAGCTTCCTTTATTTAGTTGTACCACTTTTAAAGTGATGTTTTGTTTCATTCCCTTTATTAGTATTTATTTCTTCTGTATGCCATTAGACTCCTTTTTTAGAGTCCTCCTTTTGTTAGGTTATTTGTCAACCTGTGCCCTTTTGGCCTTTTTGTTTGTTCAGGCTGCACGCCTTCCATTTTGTTACACCCTGTTCTGTAATAAAACTACTTATAATTATTACCAATTACATTTTTATTTTTTATTTAACCTTTATTTAACCAGATAAAAGCATTGAGATAGAATCTCATTTGCAATGCTGACCTGGCCAAGAAGAAGGCAGCAACGTTACACATAACACATAACACAAACAGATAAAATACAGAGAACATAACTAAGAAAACAAAAGACAAAAAAGCAGTCACTGCATTGTGCACATTAGGACAGTAAGAAAGGTTCTACTTATTTCTGCAAGAGCAGCTGGTGGTAAGGACTTCAGACAACTTCAATTTAAAACATGCTATTGAGACAAGTGCCGTCAGTTTGAGGCGTGATTGAAGGTCATTCCAAGACCAAGGACCATAATAAAAAAGACTCCTTTTCCCAGCCTCAGTCCGCACAGCAGGAACCTGGAACCGTATCCAGGCACTGGATCTGAGGTTGTAAGAGTCACAAACTGGAGCAAATCTGGCACATATGTACAGTGGAAGCTTACCTAAAATGGTTTTATACATTAATAAAAACCAATGCTGCATCCTACGAATAGTAAGTGAGGACCATCCAGTTAGGCTATACAGTTTGCAATGATGAGTCCTATAGGGTGTATTTGATATATAACGCAGTGCAGCATGGTAGAGTGGGTCAAGTTTGGCCAAAACAGTGGGACAGGCAAATCTATAAATGGTATCACCGTAGTCCATACTGGTGTGTGTTGCATTCCTCATCCCTAGTGAGTTTGTAACATACATGGGGGCTCGTCCGGGATATTTAACTTAATTCCTGGGGTTATAGGTGGTTTTCTTATAGCTGTAAACGTGTGGGCGGTACACCCGAGAATGGCATCCTTCACCTTAGAGTCGTTCTTAATTTGGCCGTCCTATGCGGAGCTGGACCGGTGTAATAAGGACGAGTTGATGGAGATAGCGCGGCACTTCAGTCTTGTGGTGAGTCTGCAGATGTTAAAAAAAGAGTTGAAGGCATTGGTAGGGGATGAGATGGTGAGAAGGGAATTACTAGTACTGGCTGTACCTGCTGAGCTCCCAGTGTCCAATGTTTTAACTGAAGACCCGTTAAGTCAGAGGCAGGCGGCGGAGTTTACATTTACCCAAGAAAAGAGTGGTGGCAGCGAGCCATGTGAAGTACTGCTCATGCCGCCTCACAAATGTCCACCCTCTCCTGTTGGCAGTACAGACTCCCGGGAAGGGAATAAACTGAAAGTCTGTCAAGCCCGGCTTCAGTTGGAAGCTAAAGACAGGCAACTTCAGTTGGAAGCTAAAGACAGGGAACAAGACAGGCAGTTTCAGTTAGAGATAAGGAAAATCGAGGCAGATAAGGAAGTCCGGATCCGTATACGGCAGATGGAGCTAGACTCCGAACTGCACGCATCCGGTGTTGTTGGCAATACTAGAGAAAGCTTTCCACTTCCTTCTCATCCACCTGCCTTTAATGTAGGGAAAAATATTGCATTAGTGCCGGTTTTCCGTGAGACTGAAGTGGATGCATATTTTGGTGCGTTTGAACGCATTGCGGCGGCACTACAGTGGCCGGCTGAGGCCTGGGCTCTGTTAGTGCAGTGTAAACTTCACGGGAGAGCTCAGGAGGCGGTTGCTGCTCTTTCGCTAGCAGTGGTTCTCAAATGGGGGTACGCGGACCCCTAGTGGTATGTTGGAGTACTGCAGGGGGTACGTGAGATTTATTTTATGTTAATGGAAGAAAAAAAACACAAGTAATGCATTTAAACAAACTATTAATAGTAGATTAACTACTTTCTTCAAAAGTTTACAGTAATTCTGGATAATAAAATGGGAAAAATAAACGGGGTGTTCTCTTTTCCTCCCCCTCTCCTGACAGCCCGTCAGTCTCGTGCAGCTCGCTGAACCTTTAATAAGTGACCCGACAGTAAAGAATAAATATATTTATAACTAGTTTAGCTAGTTCCAAAGTAGATAAACTAGCTAAGTGTGTTAGGTCTAACTCTTAGTGTATTTAATTTTGCTCCACTCAACGGTCCGTCACAGCGGCGGAGCTGTGATCATGCAGAGCTGCGTGTTCTCCGTCAGCAGCAGCTGATCTGATCTCTGATCTCTCTCTAGCGTCCGGTTAGACTTCACTCGCGTTTATGTCCAAATCTATCAGATCTAGCTAGTTCTAGTTAATTATATGACTGCCTGCTTATCAAAGGACACCTAAACAATAAGCGTTGCTTGGCAACGGCGTGTGGCCGCAAAGTATAGCGCAGCATTATGCATATGCATGTTTTTATGAGGGGTCAAAATCCCATGCTCATAAAATGCTCATATATTTTTTTCTCTTCATTCCCCACGCCCCAAAAATAAATAAATAAATATACCAATTTTAGGAAAAGTAACGAAGTTTGAGCAGTGTGGGTTTTATATTAACAGAGTTAAACATATTTTAAAACGTGAAGTGTAATAACTGCAGTGGCCTTCCTGTCACTGATAATGACAAAGATCCTCAGTGAAACACAAGCCCATGTTTCTCACTACATTGTAAGTACAACTTATTAAAAAGATCAGTTCAATGCAACTAATGTCGTCTTAGTGTTATTGCATGATGTTCAAATTGGGTTGCCATGAATTTAGTGATGGATTGTAAACATTTCAAATGTAGCATGTAAGTGTTTCTCAGTTACAATATTGTTGTTTTAATAAATCAGACACTGATGGTGGAGCACTGTAGGCTACTGTACCTCTTTATAGGCATTTTTTTCATTTTTTCCAAATTGTGTTTGCACTGATCAGGGGGTACTTGGCTGCATTTTTTTTTCAAAAGGGGTACATTATTGAAAAAAGTTTGAGAACCACTGCGCTAGAGGACAGCCTAAGTTACGACCTGGTAAAGCGTGCCATACTTAGGGTGTACGAGCTAGTTCCCGAAGCTTATCGGCAAAACCACAGGAAGGGTCTTAATCAGACACATGTCGAGTTCGCCAGGGAGAAGGGAGTGATGTTCACTAAGTGGGTTGCTTCATTTCATGTAAAGCGGTGGATTATGCTGCTCTGAGGGAACTGATCATGTTGGAGGAGTTCAAGAGATGTTTGCCTGATCGTATTGTGGTATACTTGAATGAACAGAAGGTAAACTCTCTCTCTCTGCTGCCGGTGTGTTAGCTGATGAATATGTCCTTACGCATAAATCTGTGTTTTCTCCTGTTTATACTGAGAGGTCCCATTGTGTGTCCGACGCCCCAGTTACTAGGCTGTTGAATGTGCATGACGTAACTACAGAGGAGAGAGAGTGCTATTATTGTCACCAACCTGGACATGTCATCGCCAACTGTGCAGTTCTAAAGCATAAAGAGCAGCCACAAAACATGTCCCCTCCAAAAGGCATCGGTCTGATTAAAGCAGTCATCCCTTATCCCTGCATCTGACCGTGACGATGGTGAGATAGATCCCTGTTTTAAGCCTTTTGTGTTCGAGGGGTTAATATCCTTAACTGGGGAGTGTGCCGATCAGAGACCTGCATGCGCATATTACGAGACACCGGAGGCGCACAGTCTGTGATTGTTGCCTCCATACTGCCATTTTCTGAACAGTCAGCCTGTGGTTATGGTTCCACATTATGCGGCATTGAGATGAGTTATATCCCACGGCCCGTACACAAGGTACATATACAGTCAGACCTAGTAACCGGTTTCTACCCAGTCGCTGTATGTCCAGCATTACCGTTGAAAGGGATAGTGTTTTTAATGGGAAATGACATTGCGGGTAGTAAAGTAAGGTGACCCCTG